TGATGAGAATCCCGTAATAAGGGGAGCACGATCTCTGCCTTGACAAGACGTGTCAAGAAACCGCCTCGCGTTATGTGCGGGGGCTGGTTAAAGAAAAACGGTTCGAATAATTACCTGGCCATGGTGTGATGTCATGCTGCCAAAACATGTTAGCAGATTAGATTTGTGGAAATATTATTCTCTCTACGGTGGTATGTGGAACTTATTTTGTAGGGTCGGACACTATCCTTGTATTCAAATTCTTCCATGGTGTATTCGGAGGAGGAACCCGCCTTGCAATGCCGAAGACAACACTGCACGCCGGAATCATCGTCATTGAAGCCTGGTTCAGGGGCTACTGAGGGAGTCCTGGATTAGGGGGTCTCCGGACAGCCGGACTATATCCTTTGGCCGGACTGTTGGACTATGAAGATACGAGATTGAAGACTTCGTCCCGTGTCCGGATGGGACTCTACTTGGCGTGGAAGGCAAGCTAGGCAATACGGATATGTATATCTCCTCCTTTGTAACCGACCTTGTGTAACCCTAGCCCCTTCCGGTGTCTATATAAACCGGAGGATTTTAGTCCGTAGGACAACATACAATCATACCATAGGCTAGCTTCTAGGGTTTAGCCTCTCCGATCTCGTGGTAGATCAACTCTTGTACTACTCATATTATCAAGAACAAATCAAGCAGGACGTAGGGTTTTACCTCCATCAAGAGGGCCCGAACCTGGGTAAAACATCGTGTGCCCTGCCTCCTGTTACCATTCGCCTTAGACGCACAGTTCGGGACCCCCTACCCGAGATCTGCCGGTTTTGACACCGACACTACCCGTCCATCTAGATATTAAGACATACTTGTAATTAAGCAGTTCTACAAGCCATGCATAGTTCAAACATAAAACATGCATTAAGTTAAACAATTCATACGAAATAGGCTACCCATCTAGCAAGCTATTGAGGGTCCGACCTCGTGGTTGTTCCTAGTGGACCTACGACACCTCTGCTGACCCTCCTCCTGATGCTCCAAGGCATCCCAGTCTATAGGATCCTCCTCCGCGCTCATCTTGGTTGCATACTGAAGTAGCATCATCTTGTTTGTCTCCACGAGTTTCTCATCTCTCGCAAGCTCGATCACCAATGGGTCAAAGAACTGCTTCTCGGCATGTTTGCTCTCCTTCTCCTCGGCCTTAGTGCATATCCTCATGCCCTCCGGTGCGAGGAACTCTGCGTACTCAGGACACTCAGGGAAGTTCAGAATCACCCTTTCCTGATAGAACTCTACCGCCATGGCATCATAGGTGCGTGCCGCAAACTCCGGTGTGTCCCAATGGCCAAGCTCGTTGACGACATTGTCCTTCCTAATGGTCGCATAGTACTTATTCCCCTTCGGTCGCGCACCGCGAAACTTCGGAGCCGTCTGTGACGGTGCATATATAACTAACAAGTTAGTAAAAATTGGGCATATTGATGAGTAACTACAAACCTACAATCAACAATGTAACTAAACGTACACTACAACTACACTAAAATCTTAAAGTACAACTACACTAAATTCTTTCACTACGAATACACTACATAGAACTATAGTAAAACTACACTAAAATCATATACTATGATCTTACACTAAAAATTGTACACTACTCTTACACAAAAAATTCTACACTACTCTTACACAAAAAATGCCACACTACTTTACACTAAAAATTCTACATTACCCATACACTAAAAATCTTGCACTATAACTGCACTAAAATCTTACACTATAACTACACTAAAATCTTATAGTACAGTCTTACACAAAAAATTCTACACTACGCTTACACAAAAAGTCGTACACTATTACACTGAAAATTCTACATAACTCTTACACTACAAATTGTACACTACTATTACACAAAAAAGTCTACACTACCTAGAGCTCACCGGTGGTGGTGGAGATGGCGAGGAGGCGTTGCGGGGTGGAGACGATGGGGGCGTTGCGGGGGTGGGGGTAGAGGCGACAGCGAGGGGGAGACGTAGGTGGAGAAGAAAAAATGGCGACAGGGGCGGGGAAGATGATGAGAGGGGGAACATAGGCGGAGAAGACAGAGGCGGCTATGAGTACTTGACGGCGGTGACGAAGACGGCGGCCGGGGACGCTGTCGGCGGCGGCGGTGGCGCGGGGTGTGGATTTGAAGTGGGTGGGTGGTTAATTGATTTGGGGGCCAGCACTGCAATTGCTCACGTTGGCCGACGTGGTCCACACCATTGCTATTGTTTTATGATTTTATTGAACTTTTTTACTTTTATTTGTTGGACACATTGTTTTTATTTTCCTATAGATGTTTAGTTTATTATTTTGTTGTGTTATTATTCTATTATTATTTTAATTTAATATTTTATTTTATTATTTTGCGTGTATATATATACATATTAAAATATAGTTCAAGACGAATAATTAGAACAACATCGATCTCATTAATCTGGCCTAGATACATAATAGTTGAAGGATGAAAACAATAACAAATATATATAGCTTCTACTACTTCATCTACACTAAGAACATCATCAATGTAATGACTCCTACGAGAAGAAATGCTGCCACCGATCAAGCTGGGAGAACAAGGCCAAACATAACACCAGTTAAAAGCGCATATCGAAACATATTTTAATTTGGCGGCGCATCACATCATTCTTGAGCTGCATCTCATCTATCTGCTGCCTCAGTGGTCCAATGAAGTACTCAAGCAACTCGCTTACGTACTTCTGCACGAGATCAACCCATATCCATGTGTAGCAATATTTTGTCACCGGTGCCCATGGATCAAGGTTGTCAGAATCATGATTTTGAATCGGATCAGAGCTCCGATGGTAAGATCGCAAATCATAGAATCTTCACTATCAGGATCTTAGAAACATAGATTCTATGAACTAAAATCGTAGAATCATAGGAGTTAGTTTGGATCGTAAAGTCGTAGAATCTTATAACAGAATCGCGATTCTGACAACCTTGCCGTGGATCACAATATACATACACATATTCATGTGAGTGACACTAGACGATGGAGTTAAATTGTGCAAATTAGCATAAATAGACCGGGAGGGTGTTTTCTGTCATATTAACTTTCCACATTTAGCGCAGATATAGTACTCTCAGTCTGGATTCCATTTTGTGTGCGACATATGCTTATCAGCAGGGCGTCGACAGCTGCAAAGCAGCACAGGTGCCCTCGCTCGATTCCCGGTAGCTTCGGCGCCGGTGGCGTAGCTGCCGGATCAAACGGCCGACGTGCTACAGTGGGATGATTCGTCGGACAGGGCCGACCACATTGGCCGTGGTGAGCTCATGCCGTAGCCAATGGGGCCAGAGGAGAGCCCGACCAAGGCGGCAGAGTCCCAAACTTTTGACACGCCTCGTCGACGTGGACTCGCATAGGCTCATGCCAATTCGACAAGCTCCGGTGGGTCCATTGTCACCAAAGCAACTAGCTAAGAGGGAGTAGAATTTTGTGCAGAATAGAAGTGAATGTATTTGAGAAACAAGGGCCGCCAACACTTCTATATATAAGCAAAACTTAGTGCTGGCGTGCTCAAAGAGGGTAGGACAACACTATATACCTTATCTATGGCGTGTATTCAAATCCCACGCCAGCAGTATCTTCCAACTGGTTAGCACAGCTGGGCCCACATAGTAGTGACGTCTCGCAAAATATCCACGCCAGCACTACCAATATATAGCTAGCGTGCAAATTACACCAACCAAATAGTGCCCGCGTTGATGGAAAATGGTGCGCCACCAACGAAGTTGTGGTTAGACATTTTTTTCACTGGTGCTACTTGGAGCTATATTTTTATTTTTCACATGATGTGTGTTTTTCTTGGAGCATTTTTGTTTTTGTTTGGTTTGTTTGCAAAATCATTATTTCCTAATCACACCTATTAAGAGAGACACACATTCATCTTATATTTATAGAATGCTCATTTGTTCTTCACTTATATCTATTTGAGTTGAGGAAATTTCTCTTGTACTTCACTTTATATTTGTTTGAGCACAGTGATATGATTTTGTAGAAAATATTAGGAATCTATTGCTTCACTTTTATACTTTAAGAGTTGAATAGTAATTGGTAATTTGCATGAATTATGAGTTGGTCCAAAAATAATGGGTATGTAGTAGTGGTATAATAAAAACTTGCATGAACTTGTAGATCGATTGAAGTTTGATAGTTAGGGTTCTTTGAAATAATTTTGAGATAATATAGTAGGTAATTAATATACGTATAAGCTTAAACACTTGCATGAAGTAGTGTAAAAATGTAATAATTAAGGTCATACACGTTAGAACTCGGTTATTTAAGTGAAGCTTATCATGAAAGGTCTAAACTGAAGAGCGTTGTAAGTAGCACTCTCATGTATCATGGGCCGGAGATGCTCAATGGGCTTCGGCTTTGCCAAGCAATTTCCCTAAGAGTAATTAGTCTCATGGTTACCCTTTGTAAGCTACAGAGTATTAGGGATTTGTTTTGATTATGAGTTGAGGTCTTTACAACACTTCCACCTACACCACGACACCACAATGGCGACACACATCTGTCGGTACAAGTGTATATTACCGACACATTATTTGTCCACAACAATGCCGACACATGAACGGTTGAGGTAGCTCTAGATTTTCGGTGTATCCATCGACAATGCTAGTCGGTTTGTGGACATACTATGTGTCGGTATAAGTTTCTTTGCTGTTAGATTATCTGTCGTTGTTTTTTTGCGATGGAAAAAGTGTCGGCGTAAGTTTGGACCTGGCCCACTTATTTCGAGCCAGGCGGGACAAGTTGCGCGCGAGACACGCAGAAACTCCAAATTTTGGCCGATCTTATCTCTTTCTCCACCCGGCCAGCACCCCATCTTACCTCTTATCTCTTTCCCCCACACCACACACGCTCCCTCCGCCGCCGCCCCCTGACTTGCCGGCCGATTTGCTCGCGCCGCCGCCTTTCCCACCAGCGATGGCGCCTCCCACAGCCTCCTTCTAGCATGTGGTGCTCCCCCCACGTTCCAAGCCGAAGGTGCCTCCTGAAGATAGGACAAGAAAAGAGGGAGGCAGATCCACCGCGACCAAGAGCAGGTCAGGCGGCGGCCATGGCACGCCCAGATCCGCCAGCGCCATCGTTGTCGAGCACCTCTGCTCCGAGCGTCGGATCCACCTCGGGCTCCATCTACACAACCACGCACTGGCAGCCGCTGCCATGGAAGGTCTCCTCCCCGCCCCTCTCCCACCCAGACTGTTGTTAGTTTTGATTTGGCCGCTCCCTTCCCTGATGCGTCTTCCTCACGCGCGCGCAGGTTCTCTATGTGCTTGCTTCTTCCCTTCCCAAGACGCTGTTGCTCCGACGCCATGGATAATGTAAGAATTTCTCTTCCCTCCCCTTCTGTTCGTCTCCTTCATCCGTCCTAAATTTTGCTTACTGCACCAGAATAATTATTTCTTCAGAGAGGAGAAGAGGAGAGGTCTTGCAATCCAACTTGTCTTCTTGAACAATTGAAGCACAATTCTTTGCAGCACCTGAAGTTTCAGACTAAATAAATTATGTTGGCCACCTGTATTTGGAAAATTTACCCTATGTAGCATGCAACTTTAGTTTTCTATAGAAGGCCGTTGTGCTTGCCGTTCCAAAAGTGCCACCAGTATTAGCAATGGACGTTCCAAAAGTGCCGGTGGAAAATTGTGAAATCGGTAGTGCAGTTTGCATCTTTGTAACAAAACATGTTATAAGATCAATATTAAACCAAAACTTGGACTCTGTATCTAGTGTATGGAAGTTTAAGTGATTATGTGAATCTCCTTTTCCTCCAGTAGTGCCGCAGATTTCAATCATTATTTATTTGGCTTAGAGACTGAAAAAACAAGAGAGAGATTATGAAGTGTTTCTTTGCTGCTGAGAACACTGTATGTATTCACTGTAATTGACATCCCTACTGTATCAATGTGTCTCCTTGCCCATGCAGGTGCAGGACAGAGCCGCCATATGGTGTGCGCGGAGATTCTTTTTCCACTCTGATGCCTTCCGCGCTACGTGTCTGATGGACCCGATTTTACTTCCACTCCGACATAGCTAATGGTAAGCCACTGGTGTTCTCTCTCGCTCTCATGCTCTATGTGTCCACGGCCGTCGTGCCATGCTGATTTATAGTTGCCACCCAGATTCTTATTATCCTGCTGCGGCTTGGAGTTGTGAAAAGATCTAGAAATTGATGGTTGTTTGAATTTTATTTTGTTGCTGCCCTGTGTTAACTCATTAATTTCCTTTGTATGCATCTTATTTTCTACCATTGTCTCTTAAGCATCATGTTCAACAATATGTGTTATTTGCAGCAGAAAATATGATAATACCAGAGGAGGAAGCGAGCTTAGCAAATGATGAATTATAGAGGCTCTCAAATATTGGTGAAACAAGAGGAAGGTGAGAGGTCTTATAGAACTGAATAGTTTATAGAACTGTTATCTATGGTATGATGCTTGGTTCAAAAATAAAAAGGGCTAGAATGGGAGAAAGGGTCATCAGTGTGAACTAAAAGTCTATTGTTTTTCTTCTGGGTATGCTTTGCATTTTATTGTCATGTTTCATGCTTCATAGCGTGTGTATGTGCATATAATTACACACATATACACTAGTTTGTAATGTCACTATAAATAGATGATTCATCAGACCATCAGAGTTTGCATCAGACTATAATCGATGATGCATCAAATCGAAAGGAGGATCATCTGCTACATCAGGCATTTACATGATAGCTTGTTTCTATGTGTACTGTGTAATATGAAGTAAAAAAAGTGTAGTTTGATTCAGTGGCATGCTTTACCATTGAATGATCTTGAGCAACATTGCACCAGCACGTGTCTGGGGTGGAAAAGGTCGGGAAAACTATCCCAGAGTCCAGCCTGAACTTATATTCAAAGCAATGGGTGTTGAGCCTGATATTATGTTTGCTGGACAACTCGAATCTAAAAGTGCAGGTCAAGAAACACCAGAACTATTTAATGTTTCTATATTTTTTATTTACTCTGTCGTTTGTTTATGTTTCCAGATTACTGTCGAGATGTAGCTCGTTTGGTTCATATAAATCTTATTCCAAGCCTTTATATAGTTGTTTTAGGTCTAATATTTCACAGCATTTCGAAGCCATTAAAGTTATCATTGACTTACACTGCACTGAACATATAAAAGTTATCTTTTATTTCACTCAAGTTTAACCTCAAGCCTAAGACTTATTGGTCGATAAGCACTGCTAATGTTCAGATTGAAAACAAAGCCCTAGATCAGTGACAGAGTAACTATCTGGTGCTTCAACCCATCCAGAGATGAATTCTGCACCCGAGTTTCTTCCTTCTTGTTGAAAAAAGTTAAGGGGCCCCTCCTCATGTTGTGTTGATTTATAGTGTCCAGATTGGTTAAGTTCCACCTTGCTCGATGAAAGATCTGCTTATAGTACTTGAGAAAGGAATTATCAGTTCCTAAATTCGGCTCGAGAGTCAAGTTATTATTATGTTCTATCAGATCTAGTCCATTAACAAAATAGGAGTTGCTTCCTCTTTTGCATTTATGATAATTAGCGGAGTTGCATGGTCTCACAATGTTTATGTGGTGGTTAGTTGCTCGGGCTTTTTTCTTGTATTTCAATACTAGAAAATAGAAGAGGCTATCAATGTCAGCACAAAGCTGTTGGGCTATAGCAATGTAACTAATCAAGTTTCACAACGGCCTGTTGGTTCTCAATCGTTGTAGTTCAGAGCTGTATGTTTAGTTTAAACTCGAGCTAACTCTGGCCGATATAGATGGTTTCCAATATAATGCTACATAATTTCCCCTTTTGTATTCGTCACCCTTGTTTGGCACTACTTTTTTTATCAGCATATGCAAACTTTCATGTAACATGCAAACTCTCATGGATCTGTACGTGTGTTTGTAAGAACTTGAATGCTGGTTTGATGATTTATTTTCTACGAAGTTGGGCATATATTCATGGCTGTTTCTTGATAACATTGCATGTAACTGGGTTTCTTCATTGCACTTAAATAAGTCTGTTTTTAGCTTTGGCCTATATGCTGCCTAATTAAACTTGAAAATTAGAGAGAAACAAAAAAACTAGGAGAGATGCATAGATTTAATTAGAGAGGAAGTGCAATCAAGTATTTGTTTACTTTTTATTTAAGCAAGACAGTTTGTTGAACATCTTCTGTTTTTAGATTTTTGGACTCAAGAGCAACTCAGAAGTTTGAACAAATGCTGCTATGATAATATTGCTGAAACATATGAGTGATTTTACAGGGTATAATGGCAGAAGGTATCAAATCGAAGATGTTATGGCTTTTCTTCATGGGATGCATGGTCGACCTACTTTCATATGGAAGTTGTTGTTGGTTCGATGAACAAAGACTTGGTGTGTTCCATAGTGTTTTGTATAGTGACTAGACATGAGTCTCTTATGAACTTAGCCCGTATTTTGTAACAGGTCACAACTTATATGTCGACCTATGTATTTCCTTAGTGGTTGTAGCTAACTTGAGTGAAGAAAACTAATGAATCTTCTATATGTTGAATATATATGTATTTATCAATGGTATCTTGTGATGAATACAAGAGTATAATTGTTTATATATGTATTGGGTATTGAACATGAATTGAACATTATGAATGTAATTTCATTCAAATAATGGTGCATTTGCATTTGTGCTGAAATGTAGGACCCTGACAGTAAATGTGTCGGCATAAGTATTGGGCGTTGCACTATCTGTTGGTATAGTGCACTGACAGACAAACTGTCGGCGTAGCAATGGATGTCACACAATGTGTCGGCATAGCACACTGTCAAATGATCCGTCGGCATAGCTTTGTCTGTCGGTGTAGAAATGTCTGTCGCCATAGATCTCACTAATGTTGTCATACTGTTTGTCGGCATAGACCTTTCCCGGCAGGACTATAGGCGACAACTCCTTTATGTCGGGAAAGGTCTTTCCCGACACTAAATGTGTCGCCTTAGGTGGCCTATGCCGACAGATTGTTTGACGCTGCTTTGAGTGTCGTGGTGTAGTATCCATATTTGTAGCTACTTCAGTACCGTGCATTGCCCACTCTCACCTTGAGATTTGGCGCATACTTCACCGGTGCATTCAAACCCCATGAGATGATAAGATATCTCACACATAAGTCACATTATATCTTCCTCAAAACAGCCACCATACCTACATATTATGCCATTTCCATAGCCATTCCAAGATATATTACCTTCCATTGTTACTATTCACATGACTTGAGCATTCATTTGCCATTTTGCTTTGCATGAACTTATAGAGCTGACATGATATTTGTGGCAAAGCCACCATTCATCATTGTTATACATGCTATACTAGATCATTGCACATCCTAGTACACTACCATGCATAGGCATTCATATATAGTCACCATTTTTAGTTTTGAGTTGTAAGTAAATAAAAGTGTGATGATCATCATTATTAGAGTGTGTGTCCCTACCTATGAGGGTATAAAAAGGAGAGGGCAAAAAGATCCCACCAAAAAAAGTTAAAATAAGAAAAGAAAGAAAATGAAAGAGAGAGAAAGAGGGGACATACTACTATCCCTTTTCCACACTTATACTTCAAAGTAGCACCATGTACTTCATATAGAGAGTTTTTATATACTTCATGATTATGCTAGTGGGATCCTTATACTATATAACTTGGCTTGTATATTCGGATGACGAGCTTCCTCAAATTCTTGAGGTCTTCATGAGCAAGCAAGTTGGATGCACACCCACTTTGTTGTATTTAGAGAGAGCTTTCATATACTTATAGTTCTAATGCATCCGTTGCATGGCAATCCCTACTCCTTACATTGACATCAATTGTAAGGCCTCTCCATCGCCTAATGATCAAGCCTCGCTGATGTGAGACTATCTTATATTTCGTCTTCTTTAAAATCCCCATCATCATTCTATTTGCCATCCAAAGTGCTAAGAACAAAAGCTTGTAGTCTTAACATTGAACAAAGTGCTAAGTAGTAGAAAAGGGCTCGTCATGGATTTGGCTACTGCACCGATGGTATGGGTTGTTATTATGATAAGATGGTTAAATTTGATAAGGCTTTGATTGATTAGGGACATGTATATGACATTATTAGTATTAATTGGTTTTACTTCAAGACATTTTAACATGAAAAAGTAATACTTATTTTGTTTATGTACTTTGATTTTACTTGCTTATTATCAAATATAGATTATTCCTTTGAATCATTTCTATCCTAAGTTCACACCACAATTGTTATATCATTTGATCAAGAACATGCTAGGTAGCATTGAACATAAAAAATCTTTGTTTATCATTTACCTACTCGAGGACGAGTAGCAAT